CATCACAACTAAGCAACCCTGAAATATATGCTGCAGTAATGTGTTTGTTTCTTTTTTTTTGATAATTTATGCTCCAAGTTGGTTTGTATTTTATTATTATTATTATTATCATTATTATTATTATTATTGTTATGAAACAAGCTTGTTTGAAATGTATTGACTGCTGTTATGAAATAGGGGATAAAGATTTTTTTCTTTCTTTTTTTTTTAAATGTATGTGCAAGGACGTTTTTATAATATGATTTGTCAAACACTGGACTGGAGTGAGTTTTCCAACATTTCCAAGTTGAGAGATGTATTTGACAGACATAACTGCACAGACGACACCCGTTAGCACAGATGTGAGCTGACAGACGAAGCACATCCTCCCAGCTGTACAGGGGGAGGGTGGCCGCCATCCTCCCCCCTCCCAGTTCAAAATAGGAGTCATTCGGATGTAAAGAAATTCAGATATTTTCCTTTTGTGCTGGTTAATGGCTTTCATTGGGTGATGGGTTGTAGGAAATATTAGGGCTTTCCTTCCAAAATTGTTGCATGGCATAGACTGGTTTATTTTTTCTTTCCTTTTCTGAAAAAGAATCTCTTAAATATTCAGAAAAAAACAAAAACCCACTTCACAGCGAACCAATTATCAAAATCACCTGGTATGTTCTTTCTATGGTAGAGCAGATATGTGTCTCATTTACACCAAACCACCACTTCTCAAACCAGAAAAGAGATTTGCACTAGACTGATTTTGGTCTTCTTCTATCAAAAAGCAATATAATTCACTCAACACATTTTCAAAACCATAGTATCGGACGGTTGTGGCTGAGTAAATGGTGATATTTGACAATTTGTTTTTCTTTGGTTTTTGTATTCAAAGGTACAGAATCGGTCGCCTTTATAAATGCACATGACATCCACATGTTGTCGTTCGTAGCAGGGTTGTGTGTTTTTTTTTCTCCTGACCCAGCAGTACCCTCTTCCCCCCAACCCCTTCCCCGAGTATTAGTGTCCAGATTTGAGGGGCATTAAAACTTGTTGTTTCCTCCTGTGATTGTTTTTGGACAAATCAAGCAGCTCTTACAGATCTTTTTGAAGTGAGAGACGGGATGTTATGAGGGAAGGAATCATTCAACCATGAGTCGATGTCAATTGTCTTCATCACCGACCACGCGTTTTTAAAGATAAATGCCAAAAGATAAACCCAGCTGTCCACTGTCGTGCACACCTTTCCCTTAAAACAAACACAAAAAAAACAAAGAAACAAAAAAAAAAAACAACACTGGTGTTAGATCTCTGCATATTTGGTCACTTTGAGTGCTTTATTTCTGGGATGTTACAACAACAACAAAAAAAGGCTTTAAAGAGGAAACAATAATGAAATACTGAAAATAGAAATAAAAAATAATAATTACAAACGCACCTTTTTGTGGTATGAACAGCATCATTGGCTACTTATGTAGAGAATCCACCAAAATGTATCATACTTCATCCTTTTTCAACGAGGTCACTTACAACAGCAGTAATTAGCGACCTTGACGTCATTATTTTGTTGATGGATAAGTGTAAATTTTTCAATAATTCACAAACAGCAAAACTTCACCATTTTTATCTGGATGTAGTAGCTTTCCTGTTTTTCACCGCTTTGTGGTGTTGTTGAAAGATGTTGCGGTTTGTCTAAATATGTTGCGTGTTAGAGGAAGCATAAGTATGTGCCTTCTTGTAATCTCCTTGGTGAGCTTGTTATTATTGAGAAGCTGAAGCCAGCCAATTGTGTTTGCACTAAAAACCAAATTGCTTTTGTGATGTAGACTATTTAAGCAAGCTTGTTGCGTCACTTTAACCGTACAGTATGCATGAGGGTGAAATTGGTAAGTCTAGGGCTAGAGCTCTCATCTGTTGACCTGTAAACCAGTGCAGCTTAGAGGATCTTGTGAATATATCTTGGCTTAGTTTCGCATTTAGTTTTCCAATTCCATCTCCTTACTCATCGAGTTTTTTCAACATTTTCAACAGTTAAAGGTTCAAAATTTAAAAAAAAAACAAAAATCGAAAAAAAAAAAAGGTAAAAAAGAGAAAAAAAAAATCAAATAACACATACCATGAATACAATACAGCTTTTACTTTCACATGCCACAGTTAGAGTTACACAACTGCAGAAGAGATATCTCTTTTTTTTTTTTTTTTCGGAATCCATGGGAATGCATGAGTATACGAGGTCGCCTCAAGACTATTGGTCAAAATTAATTTTTTTTTTTTTGAAAACTTGTATTTATTACATATTTTGTTGACATCTAAGAAAGGCCTACATGCTTTGAGTCTTACAAATGCACCTTATTCATGTCAGTCCATGAGGGGGACAAAAAAAAAACAAAAGGACAAAAAAAAAAAGACAAAAAAAAAAAAAGGCTGGCAATGTAATATCTCTGATTTAGCACCTTACTACACAGCATGTTTTCACTTTATGCCAGTTTAGCTATTCTTCCATATGTATGATTTCATAAATAAATCTCATATTTTGTGAAATTGTTTCATGGGATGTGCCAAAGTTTGGAGGCGATCTCCCAAGTGTTTATGCTTATCATTTTCTCTTTTTTTTTTTTCTCCTCCTTCTTCAGTTATAGCAACGGTATGTCAAAACTTTCCTATAACAGTGTGTGGAATCAATTTATCTCAGCAAACAGTATCATTACTTGCCATTTTACAATAAGCCCTGTATTTCACATATATTTACCAGTGATGTGTATTTGTTATTATAAAGAAAATAGCCGTAAAAGCTTCATTATGTTACATAATATTGTGACTTTTTTCGAAAAACTGTGAAGACTTATCTTGCATATACTTTATACAGAAGTATTAAGCCTTAATACAAAAGACTAAAAAAAGTGTGGAAGAATAAACTGATTGTTGCTAAGTAAGGATGATTTTTGTAAATGTTACCAGCACTTTTTTTGTAATTTTCACTCTCTGAGGTATTGTACAAGTTCAAGCTGTTTGTGAAGTTTGATTATGAAGGAATAAAAACTAGTACTTTCCTGTACTTCACAGAAAGTCTTGTTGCCGTTTTCTTTTTGTGCTCTTTGTGCCTCGATCTGCAAATGAATAATAAAAGAAAAAACAAGTGTACAAAAGGTTAAAGTCTGTGCTATAAGGCTTCCACACATGACTGCTCAGTGGAGAAAAAAAATGTACAAACGGACATCCAGCGCATCTATAAAACCAGATTAGTTTAATGAGCAAATATAATCAGATTAATTACCTGTTAGGAGCTAAAATTAAGCCCGTAAATAATTTTAGCCTGGTGCGTCGGGCTGTGTGTTGATTCCAAATACAGTTGGAAGTAAACGAGATCCTGAACAACAGGCTGGACCGTGTCCCAGAATGCATTGGGCAGAAGGCAGGAAACACCCTGGACAAGCTGTCAGTTGGTTACAAATCTAACAATGATTAATAACAGCCACAGTCGTACTTCACTTCACACTTACAGGCGATTCAAGTGTGCAGTCCACTTGACTCACAAGTGTTTGGACTGTGGGAGGATGCAGCCAACGTAGAAAAACTCTACACAGAAAAAGATTTTCCAGGAAGCAAAGAGTGGGTTCGCCCTGCTGCTGCTAGGTGTCCTTTTTTTTTTTTTTTTTTTAACCAGCGAGCTGCTGCACAGGATGAAGATTAACCAAAATGTGATGTGAGCGTGGCCTGCTGCACGTGCGATCATAAAAAAAGATCACTATCGGCTTTTATTGACACACAGATTTACACGTGCCGCACTGCACTTTCACTCCCACATTAAGAAAAAATAGAATCATTACTGTGACAAGACAGCATTAAAATATAGTTCATTAACATCTATTATTAAGTCATGTAGGTTAAATTGATTTCAAATAATCATCAACTTAAATACAAGTGTTAGTGATTATCATTCATTTTAGCCTCTATATGTGAAAATTCATTTGCAAAAACAGATTTTTGTAGATGTTCAGAAAACTTATTTGTTGTTTGCTTGAGATGATATCAATCAGACTGAAGCTGAGTGGATTAGACTCAGTAGAAATGACAAAAATAGAGATAATTGATATTGTCTCAGGTAGACGATGGAAAAGTAGGTTTTCTGAAGGTTAGTGAAGATGGAGTTATCTTTTTTTGCAAATGAACTCTTCATATTATAGCTACACTCTCAACATAAATGGAGAATAATGTGTATTTTTCATCGATTATATAATTTTTCTTTTTTGTGTACCTGGTCACAAAATGGCGCCACGTGGGCAACATCTATCACACTTGACTCAAGTGTGTCATACAACAACAAAAAAAAAATCAGCATGAAATGAATTTAGAGACACAAAGCACTGTTATGTAAATGTTTCTATTCACTTTATTAGCTGCTTTATGAACACTTTAATAAACACAGAGGTTATTTTTTTGTAATGCACAAGACAGTTATCTTGGTTTATCTACTGCAGTTTGCTGTTTTTTTTTTATACAATGAGATGGAAGGACAACAGCATATTAGCACATACAGCACAAGCTACTAAATACACACAAGTAGAAACAGCTCTAAACTTTCATTAAGTGTTCATAAAGACAGCAGGGCTCGTATGTTGCAGCGTACTGTGTCGCAATACGCCGCACGGTCGATTGTGGTGCTTGTGCCCCCTTGTTGTACACCTGACTCACCTTTATTTATTGTCACAGTATTCTGATAAGGAAATAAATCACGTTTTTTTTCAAGCTTGTCTGAACACGGCAACACAATTGTTTGCCGCCGGCGCCCTCTGCTGCCAGCCTTCGGCATCCCAGGGTAAGTAGATTAGATTAATTGAAACCAGGAGGCAGTTTTCTTTGGAACTTCCAAGTGTTGTGTTGAGACACCGGAAGTTTAGGTTTGATATTACACAAGGGGGGAAATGTCTTGAGTGTAAGTGAGCAGAGATGTCCCACAATGCTGGAATTATTTTTACTCAAATGTGCTCGAGTAAAAACGTACAGGATGACGTTTTTTTTTTTTTTAAAAAGTCTAGTCCCTTCAGGCGGTTATATCACTGGTTGTAGATATGACTAATGAAGGAAGTATTTCACCAGCCAAACCTTCACTGCTCACCAACACTTGCCACACCTTGTGATTATATCTGACAACTGTGGCAGCAACCAAACTCCACCAATTACAGTAAAGATAAAACTGATTTCTTTGGAAGTTTATCTATTAGAACTATATTATGTTGAATTTGCATTGGAGGGACTGGTGCATTTGACAGGGTCGTGAGATTTTAGGGCAATATTTATTTATATATCATGCAAATGTTCCTACGTGCCACTGAAACATACAAATGAAACTCTCCCAATACTTAATCTGCTTCTCCCGGCCTTTTCAGTAATACAGTCCTAAAGGAAATCTAGATTTCCTGTTTAGAGTATTCTAAAAACAAAACTGTAATAGAGCTTAACCAGCATAAATAAAACAACTGACTTCCTAAGTGGCGTGTCACGCCATTGTGCAAGGAGCTGACACTCAAGCGTTCTACTCTACAATCCTAGAAGTGACCACGGTCAAACCAGGAAGGCTCAGGGAGAGATAAGCGTGAGTAAATATAGCAGTTGGGTGTAATCCACTTCGTGCATTTCATTATCCAGTGAGTGTTCATCTCATGCTATGACAGTGGAGGAGACAGTTAACATCAATTGTTTAGTTGTTCCCCAGAATAAATTTATTCAAGTTGGGACCATACAAACCTAGTGAATGACAGGAGGAGGTATCAGATTTCTTTAACAGGAATGACATTGGTAAAGAGGGTGTGGAACGTTTAAAATCATAAAGATGCACAACGTACAGCCATCGCCCACAGCTATTGGTGAGACACTAGTTTGTTCCCATAAATAAGGCAGAATGCAGAGTCCATAGAATTGGAAAGTTAATACATTTAGCCGAATTGGACAGTGATGTGACAACATGAAGAATTTAGATGACTTTCTTCAGCTCATCGTACAACACCAGCACGAAGGCGCCTCCCATGCCTCTGAGCACGTTGGACCAGGCTCCCTTGAAGAAAGCCTTGCCGCCCTCATCGCGTGCGATCTTGCGCCAGCAGTCAATGGTCCCGCTGTACATGATGTCAGCTGAGGATGGAGAGAAAAGAGCCATAGTTAGATAATGTGGACAGAAGCAAGACCCAACGCACAAGACAAAACCATTCAGGACCACGTCTATGGTAAAATAATAATCTGAGCTCAGCAGGATTCGCCGGCTGCACCGCAAAGCCTCGCGATGTTACAATTACGCATAAACTCACCTCCTTTGCGTCCGGACTGCATCATCATACGTCTACGGACAGTATCGAAGGGGTATGAGGTCAGGCCAGCAACGGCTGTCACAGTCTGAGCAATCATCCAGCTCACCAATATGTGGGTGTTCTTGGGGTCTGGAAGCATACCTGTAAACACAAACAGGGGAACAAATCAGTTACAGATCTAGAAGACGTTGACTAGCTCCCTCATGTGTCAAGTGTCCATCAGTGTGAAATCAACGTACCCTTGGCTGTGTCATAGATGCCAAAATATGCAGCCCTGTAGATAATGATGCCCTGCACAGATACATTGAAGCCCTGGTACAAGCCTCTGATGCCATCGGACTTGGAGATCTTCACCAGGCAGTCACCGAGACCGTTGAACTCTCTTCCGGCTCCAGCCTTTCCCACATCAGCTGCCAGACGGGTACGGGCGAAGTCGAGGGGGTACACGAAGCAGAGAGAGGTGGCTCCGGCGGCACCACCAGAGGCCAGGTTACCGGCGAAGTACCTCCAGAACTGGGTGCGCTTGTCAACGCCATCAAGGAAGATCTTCTTGTACTTGTCCTTGAAGGCGAAGTTGAGGGCCTGGGTAGGGAAATATCTGATGACATTGGCAAGGTTACCTCTCCAGAAGGAAAGGAATCCCTGTTCCCTGGGGATACGGACAACGCAGTCCATGATACCCTTGTACTGCTTGTCGGCGGTGATCTGCTTACTGGCATGCTGGACCTGTAATGATTGAGAAAAAAAAAAGAAGAAAAGATAAATAGGCTGAATACAGGGAAGTCAATCAACTACTGGACACATGACAATCACAAGGTCCCCTTGTTGTGACCTTGGTACATGTCAAAGCTGTAAAAACAGGTGAGAAGACTCCAAACCAGTGAGGTATAACAGAGCTATATGTGTTTACTAGCAATCATTGATAATGGCTGCTGGGCTTTGATTGGGTCGATTTCAGATGAATAAACCATCCTTTAATCTTATCATAAAAATACAGTAAGATTGACAGCGATATTGAAAAGAACGTCTTAAGTCAATGTCGTTGTGCAGGTTTAAAGGGAAAGGATGTAAAACTTGTTGACCCGGCTGTAAATGACAGTCACCGGGCCTCAGCACAGCCATCTCGCCTGATGCTAGCCAGCACCAAGGGTGTACATGAACCACCATGACGATTTCGTCGTCAATTTAACCAAGAATACAACAGCTATATTGTCCTGTTGTAGCTGCGTATAAAATATCCGAGTTGTAAATTACCTAGAGGAGCTGTCGTGGATCTGTACACAATGTTCCCAAGTCACTACGAGCGTTTGTCCTTTGTTAGCTACACCGGCTAAGGTTAACGTGTGAGGCTAAAGCTAGCAGCCGGGCTCGTGTAGGTCATTTCCCATCCTATGATGACCTCAAATCCTTGAACCCGCCACTGCTGAGACTTTCATTGATTCTACATATACATAACACACTATTGAGTCATCTAAAACTTTGAGGCTGTGGATGTGTCTGCGGCAGCGATAATTACTCCGCAGTGTTCAGCTGCAGCTAGCAAGATTTCACACGCTAGCCGGCTAACGATGTGAGCCTTCCGGTAGAAGGAGTTTTACCTGAAGGAGAAGCTTCACTCTCTCGATTGGGGCGACGGCTGTTTTGGAGATGGCAGCGGAGATGCCGCCCGCCAAGAAATCCTTGGCGAATGAAATAGCTGTTTCACTCATGGTGCGATGTTCTTGATGTGCCTTTCAGGTAACCAGTACGCTCGGTATATCCCCACTACCCTCTGCGGCTGATGGCCTACACCGACGAAATGGCCGATTTTGTAGCCGCGTTGAGGATTTATCTAACGCAATGGATCGCGATAACACACGGGAACTGCGGTTCGTGGGGGCGTGCCGGATGCCTACGTCACGCCGGTCATCCAATCAAACCGTGCACGTTGAGATGTCGTCACGCGCGTAATTTTCTTTGCCCTAGGCGAGTAAATCCCATTGACTGTATATAGTAAATCCTGATATAATAATTAAATACACATGAAGTGACTTAAAACCAGATGAGTCACTGCGTGGGTTTATTCATTTTCCTGCTCAGAGTCACGCTCATAAACAAGAAAACAGCCGTTTGGCAGGTCTGTGCTGTGAAGCATTCTGGGGGAAAGTCATGGGGACATCCTGAGCTCAGTCTGTCAAGGACTGCAAGGAGACATAATCCCCATAACTATTAAGGTCACACCAACTTGTTGCAAGTGTCAGAAAAATCAAATGACACTGTATGGCTACTGTGGGAGATGCATACTTCCTAATTTAACACGGGTTGTCACACTGTGGTTTATACTAGGCCATATAACCTGTAAGCTATTAACAGGTGCATGAATGTTGAAGCTTATCTGTGTTTCTTTAAATGACATTTGAGTCCTTCTAACCTTGTGCTGTTTGCAAAAACCTGGATGTCATTAGATGCTAGATCAGATTGTCTTGAGATCATATCTGCTACCTGCTTTGCTGGCACCACCACCAAGACATGCGCTGAATGCTACATGTTGGATTTTTAGATAGACACACTTTGTGCTACTGTGATGGCGATAAGGGCTGCAGAAGTGAAAAAAAAAGTTTCTGCATTCATTCAGCGTAAACTGTATCACACATGTCCATTAGAGGGCGGCAAAAGACCTACATGTTCACCTTCAGTCAGCTGAAGAGCATAACCTTAAGGCCTACTACATATGTTAGCCTGCAATGGCATCTTAAAACAGGACTTAATCTATCTATCTATCTGTCTATCTATTGATCTATCGATCTAAAACAAGCTCTGTACAACCACAGACAACACACACACACAAAAAAAAACATTATCAGACACAGAATAAGCTATATAGATATGAAACCATGTATGAAAACAGTCTTATCTAAAGTATACAAATATACACACATTGACATCCACACACATGCAAACCTACATACTTATCACACTTCTAAGAGCGCCGTGTTGTACCTTGCATAAAGAGAAATAATACCAGCAGAAAAACCAGGGATCCAGAGATCAGCCTTCAAATGCGTAGGCCAGACACGTCGAGAGTTCGGAATGAGCTGCAACCTTTTTTTTATTGTGGAGCAGTATGATAGAAAAAGGAATAAAAGACAGTTTGAATTGGTTGCTCTTATATTTGCAGGCTCTGTAACGTCTACCTCAAGGTGGAAGTCTGAAATGAAAATATGTGGGGGGTCCTTCAGGATCTTGAGAGCAAGTCTGACAACATTTTTTTTTTCATAGATGACTGTATGTTATTCTTCTTCCTCCCAGTCATTTTTAGTGCTGTTTTAAGCAGGCCGTTTCGTTTTGACTATACCTGGACACTGAGGCTGCTGAATCATGTTGCTGTATCTGATAAGACACTCCATTACAGCATAATAAAATGTACCCATGATCTTCACGAGTCTGATGTTTCTGTTGCTATGGATCTTTGTGTTACTTCCTGCATCCAAAAGACTGATATATATCGTTGACGTCCTGTTGCACTCAAGAGTGTCCATGTTGTGACCATATGTCAGTGGATCATATGCTCTCCTGACCGTTTATCAAACTGCTCATTGTGTTTCAAACCTCATCAAATAACACAACTGGGAGCAAAATATGCTTCTCATTAGGATGATGCCAGCTGTTAAATAAAACTGTCTCCAGGGCCTTGTTCATAGCTCATTATACTGAACCGTGTTTAATGTGGTGACACAGAACTCACATAAAACTGTACTGATGCTGGATGTACAGTAAACCCCACCTCACAGTAACAAACCAGCACTGACTTAACTGCAGTATTTCTGACCTGTAGTTACCTGCGCAGGTCTTATCTCTTGTGCACCTCAGCGTTGACCACAGGGAGGAGCTGCTGTGATGCCGTGCAGCCGGAGTCAAACCTTCCTCGGAGGAATCCTGCCCGTCGACCAACCTCAGAAGCAGGAGGAGATAACAGTGAATTAAAACCTCACTTAATTGAGTGCGTACTGGGCAACAAGTTGTACGAAACAATCCCCCTGCACACTTCAAAATTTTGTTTGATGTTCCAAGCAACTTTTGCAAGAGAAGATTGTTTGGTTTGAGTGCAAGGTCTTGTGCTGCCATGGTTACCTCTACAGTGCCTTATTAAATGCCTCGGTTTGTTATTCTTGTTTGGCTGGATGTGCATTTTAATGACAGTCACTGTCCACTTGTGTTTCTTACTGCCACTTGAGTATCCAGTTAAACAGGATGTGTAAATTAATCCACTAATCCCCCTGCTGTCTTTTAATTACAGCGAGGACAGCAGGTCAATGGCATGCACTTTGCAATTTTAAATTGCTTTTGTTCTCTCTTAGTGAGAGGCAGCTGTGGGTTTATTTAATCATATTTTGAGAGCGGCATTTTTTATCGGTAAAGTGGGTAATTTTGTAAACTTTAGGGCAGTGTTCACAAACACCTTAATATGAAAAAAAATATCAGTGTTGAGCAGCTCTTTTCCAAAAAGTAGATCAGATTATTATCATTTTTTAAACCAGAACCTCCAGCTTTGTGACTCCTTGTTTACTTCAGAAGGTGCAAACAAAAACGATTATGCAAAATGTGTGTTAGAGAAGTTGAACTGCTTTCCCTGAAAAGCTGCAGCCTGTTAAAATGCGGTTTTGTTTTTATCCTTGTGGGGGAAATAATAGAGAGAATGACATCCTACACGCACAGTCACAACAACAACAAACAAAAAGGAAATAAAAATGCCAGCTCAGGGTTACAGGTGAGTAGCATATCATTTAGTGGTTCTGCCTGTCTGTCATCCCTTCTGGATCGCTGCTTTTCATCCACAGGTCAGCTACAGCACTGGAACAAGTGGAGATTTCATAGTCCCACTCCTGCTGTAAGCTGATATGAATGGAAAAGGCTCCGAGGCTGCAGACTGGTCTCAGTGAAGAGGAGGGGGGACTGTTTAATATGCTCACCTCAGCAGACACATTAAGGCAACCGTGGGGGAAAATAACCAACATTTATAAGCAAAGAAATATGATCCAGATGGAAACAGTTAAAAAGCTCAGCTCTTGTTACAGAACAAAAAAACATTCTTATAAAGTCAGATTGAAGGTCAGAGATAATAATGCTAATTCACAACAAGTTGGTTAATTAAGTGAATGCTACAAATGCTTAACCCCCTGAACATTTTTTAATATCATGCATAGTAGGATAAAGGCTACACCTTCTGTTGTCCATCAAGTTGAAGCCCAACAAGCCAGCTGTTCTCCCACAGGAAACATTTGAACATCCCATGGGCACGTTCAGCCTTTTCAGGGGCCAATCACAGTGTGGCTTTGACAGAGTTGCGCCATGCAGTCTCTGGGCGCTGAGCTCAACTCTGGCTGGACAACTGGGGGAGCTGCGACAGACGCACACACAAGTAGTGCAACTGCGACACGAGTCGCTCTTGCAGGCTGACTGATGGGAGCTCACTGGTGATCAGCTGCAGAGAAACTTTTCTTTCTTCTCTTGTTGTTGGATTAAAAAAAAAAAAAAAATCAATCAATCAATCAATCAATCTGCCCGATGCACAGATCAATAAAAGCGGGACCAGAAAATTAAATGGGACAACAAAAATCGCGAGAACTTGAATCGCTCCGGTTCAGTTTTGCCAACTTTGTCTACTAAGAACCATCCGATCTGTGCTTCAGTCCGTGCGGGAGCAGCAGCAGCAGCAACAGCAGCAGCAGCAGCAGCAGAGGAGGAGGAGGAGGCTGGATGTGGCAGGAGGAGACGGGTCACTGAGCTGCAGCGAGCCGGGTGCGAGTTTCTCCAGTCCCTCAACTCTCCAATGTCACCGGACAGGATGATGATCATTGGACTTCTGCTCAATGTCTTCTCTCATGGTAAGCAGCACGTTTCTAATTTCGGTTAATAGAACATCACCGACCATTTAGATGTTATCATCCAGTCTGGTAGTCCATTCATTGTCTTCTCATGAGTTCAATAGGAATGTATGCAGTCCACATTTCTTCATGCAAACATGTTATAGGCTGTGACAAAGCCTCCAGTCCAGATGTACATGAGGAGAACAGGGATTCAGTTTATTTTACTGATGATTATGTTCTGTTATTATTTACACTTTAACTTTTTGTAAATTTGCTGTAGTTTTGCTCATCTGTGTAACATCACATATTACATGGCTCATTGTTTTTTTTAAATATATAAAAGAAGAGAAACAAGTGGAAAAGACTTACTAAACAACTCAACCAAAAAAAGGAATATACTAATAGATTGTCAGACAGTGATCCATGCTCCTGGTTTGAGTTAAACCGTTAAACCAGCCCTCGAAATAAAATGTACGACGTCCGTGAAATCATATAGAAGAATGTATAGCTGAAGCACTCTGAGATTTTACAATGTGGATGACATCATTGGTTCAGATTTGTTATTTCTGCCTTGGACCAGTTCCAAACAGAGCTGATCTGTTCTCCCAAGTATTGATTGGACTGTCCCAGATCACGGAAATATCACAAATGAACTGTTAAATTTGATATCAAAATGTGCATAAGAAGTTGATAAGGTGAAAACTCACATTCATAACTTCAGGGCAGAAAAAAAAGGAAGCACTTTGTGGTGCCGATGCTTTAACAGTCTTTGTCTTGAGAGATGTGCACACACATTAAGCTGCTGCCAAATGAGTTATAATGATTGGGGTCAATAATGTGACTGGCTGGATAAGACATCTCCCATAAAGCTCGGTGGTCTGTGGTTATTGATCTTGATCTATATCAGTTCTGATCCTTTTTTTTAAGTGCTTTTCACTCCTGTGGTTGTTTACAGACTATGAATTTGACCTATTGTTTCCACAGATCATATAAAATAGCCTTCAAATGCAACACAGCTCCCCCCCTGTGCTCTTTTCTGCAGAAATACATGCAAATGCTGTAATTGTTAGGATTAAGTCAGTAGTATAGGAGGCACAGACTCCTCTGCATGTAGGAAAATTCAGATAACACCAGGTGAGGGTGCCCATTAGAGATTAGTATCATAAAATGATAAATGCTTTCTTGTGAATGTCAGAGCTTTCAGGCACCCAGTATATCATGCAGTGTGTAAAGCCCACCTGTCAGGCACTTAGGTGGAATCACGCCAAGAAAAGCAGTTATTTTCAAGTGCTAATTAATTGAGATCTGAATCATTACACATGCAAATGAGATAGTCTGTCACGATGTTGAGTTCTGACATTATACCTGATTGCAAAAGAAATTGTTGGATTCAAACTTCGTTAACTGACTTCGTTAAAGAAAAGCAAAATCTGTGCACAATCTGGTCTCCAATCATATTCTGCTTTTAGATTAATCTGCTGCAGAACTGCTTCTTGCAGTTTTCCAGACTGTTAAGTGTTGGTAAATTGACATCCGCTGTCTATAGGTTTTGTATAAATAGGCTAAGCTCCTCTGAACTGTATTCCATTTCAAGGAATGTTATTTTTACTTTGTAATATATGTGACCTTGTGGAGCCCGGTGACCTCAACAATAGCAGTGGTAACTTTAGAGGCAGACATTTGTCCTGCCAAGATGTCTGTCACTAAGATTGAAATAAATGTATAGATTACAGAATTTCTTCTCTATAAACAAAGGTCCAGCATCAAGACTTTATGGTTTAAAGCTCATCTGTGGTCATTGATTAAAAACCCATCGCTGTGTATCAAAATTACACATCTAGAAGTTTTTCCACAAAAAAAAGAAATTGGCAAAGATTTTGCCTCTAGAATGCACAGCTCTGTGAAGTCCCTCTTTCTCCACCCATCTCTCGCTGCTGCTGCAGCTCGAGCACACCAGCTCACCCATGACTGCTTAAGCACTGTACAGCTGCTACACAACAGCAAGTTGTAATATCAGAGAGATTCAGTCGGATGTGTGTGTGAGGCAGTTAATATTACCCTGCAGTTTCAAGGCATATAAAAAAAGCATATAAAACAACATTTGGACATGTTAACAAGATAGAGGACCTTGATTTTTTTCAGCAGAAGGGGACTTAGAACAAACTAATGTGGAAAATCTTCTTGAAAACACGTTTTAAAATTTACAGGCTGTGGGGCCGCTGATTTGACGTCACACTCAAACAACGTGTCAGCTGCTCTCTAGGAGCTATGCTCAGTGTTTGCACGTGTCGTTGCATTCATCTGTTACTTTTCCCAAATTAATAGCACAATGGAAAGGAGTGTCAAAATAATGCCTGAGATCTCTTTACATGTGGCTGTGCACTGTCTTTGCCAGATGTATTAATGGAAAGCAGGCTATTGTTGAGTGACATTTAACCTGACTTTGACCCTTCGCTGCCAGGCCCCTGTGGATTATTGCTAAAGTCCCAGTACTGGCTGCAACCGCTGATTGAGTGTTGCTATTTTGGTACCTCATTTAGTGGACGTGATTGAGCTGTAACATGGTTGTCATAAATTTATTAGAGCTCATTTTCAGGCTGTGTGAAGTTACACAGGTCTCAGATGAACCAAATATCAACATACTTGAGCAGTTTCTGTTTAACTGTTTGGCTTCACCTCGTGCACACAGGTTTGTCTCGGCTTCTCTGTCTTTCCCACTGTCTAACAGACTTCTCTTTATTCTCTCTCTGTGCTCGGACACTGTCTTTACTCTGTGCCGGTAATTCAGTTTTGTTTGGGACGACGGCGCACAAAAATTAAATTGGCGGCGTGCCCATTGGACATTACTTAAATAAAAAAAACATCAAATGCACTTTCTGAATTTGCAGTTATTTCACATATTTGATGTTTCACTAAATGTGGGTCTGAATGACACCTGATTTCTCACTGCCAAGCCAGTAGTAGAAAAAAAAAAAAGTAGTTTCTGGAAGGTTAATTTGTATCACTTATGTGCCATTGTCTGTTATGCTCAGTTTGCTTGTGTGCGCTCTGCATCTTGATTGTCACTTCTGCACACTTGATGGCACAAACAAAACCCCACAGCCTGATGGAAACTGTCAGTATGTGTGTGTCTGTGTGTCTGGCCAAGAAATTATTTGGCACGCTAAAATTTAGGACTGCTAGAGGCAGCAGAAGGCAAAGGCCTGAAATATTCACACGGCTCCAGACACACTGACTGGTTGATGCGGCACCTGATGCATTTTACCTGAGTACAGCGGAGGGATGCTGCCTGCGTGATGTGGCTGCTGGCACAGCTCATTAGACGAGACATGATCTAGATGCACCGGGAAACTGTTGATTCAGAACATTAAATGTTGATTCTTGTACACGCTGGCGGAGCTGTGACCTTTGGATTCATGAAGCTTTACCCCATTTTTTTTTCAGAATGCAGAGATTATTCTCAACATCTCAAACAATCTAAAAGTGAGAGCGGTCATATTTTGACTTGCTGATGCCTGACTATATCTTTTTGAAGGCTGCGCTGCACCTGCACATAACCCCAGGCCTGGAGTCTTCTCTGTGGGGTGTATGCATTAAAAGCTGATTAAAGCAATACCAACTGTACAGCTCTTTTTAACACACCAGTCACACAGAGATTCAGTCTTGTTAACTTGATAGAACTTGGACATAATCAAAGGTGGTGTTTGCACAAGCACGCAAGGCAATTTTTGTCATATGTGGGATCAAGGACTGTCAGCTGAGTGTGCTTTTTCTCACACAGACATGCTTTTGCTGCCATCAGTGTGGTCCTCGCGTGACACTGTAGAGAAAGGTGTGGGAGCCTCTACTGAGAAGATGTGGCTGTAGTGTGGAGAGATTTGGACGATTTGTTGAAAGTCGGAGGCAGTGACGTTGATAAGACTAATTAAATCCGTCAGGTGCAGCAGTAAGGAGGAGGAAGAAGGTGCAAAGATGAGAGCAGAACAGGCAGAGAGGGCGTGTGAACATATGAGACAACTTATTAATGATAAGCGAGAGCAAATTCATTTGTTTCAAGTCGCTCTCCAGCCATCGATTTAACTCCTAAAACCTCACCTCCGTGTGTCAAAGTGACAAGTTTAAATAATCACATCCTGCCACAAAAGATGTAACTTTAGACCTTTTTTCCTGTGAAGTCCCTGCCTCTTTCTTCCTCACCCGTCTGCTGCTGGCTGCAGCTCGAGCACACCAGCTCACCTACTGCTCTGCTGAAACAGTGAAAAACAATAGTAAGTTGTTATATCGAGTGATTTGTTCAGACATTTTTGAACTGGAAGCTGATTCTGAAGAAGAATCATGCTATGGAAAGTCCCACCCTGTAAGTTGACGAGAAACATATGAAACCCTGGCTGTCCTGGAGTCTGCAACTCAGCTTCAGGGCAAAAACACTCAGCCATGGTGCAGCACTGCTTCTTCTGCTAATGATATGTCTTCTAGCATATAAAAAAACACCACATGGACATGTTAACAAGGTAAACACTTGGTTTACATCAGAGCGGGTCTTCAATATCAAGAATGAACTTATCTGAGGTGTTGTTTCACAGCTAAAGTATTTAGAAGATCTTCTGATGAATGTTTTTTGACTAGTTGCCTGTTTTCTGCACATTTGAAAATTGACTTTGAGCAAAGAAATCCACATCTGAAGAAAATGCATGCATTTTGAAATAGCATGCGAATAGGAGTGATCTCCTCACATAGGAAGAAAATAGGTTTTTTTATAGAAACAAGTTTTCTTATCTCTCTATGAAGATCTGCTTGGCTGAGGTTGCCCAAGGCGGTGCCAGAGTTTCCCTCATAACAAAGAGAATATGTGCAAACCGTTAAGCATATGTTTAATGTTAATAGAACGTTTTATGTTAGAAGCTGAGTGGTGGAATTTGCAAAATTTCGTGCTCAGCAGAAATGATTGTGTCAATAAGGAGCCACACAAGCCTTAATCAGCACTGATTAACCATCTGTGTCCTTCCTGAGGAAACACC